CAGCCTTCGTTTCGGTCCACAGTGCTTTCGGCCGATCCATCAGAAGACGAGCTTCTCCATCCTTTACCTTGGGCACTTGAACACGTTGTGGTCGGTACTGAGGCACTTGAAACACGCATTCTTGCCATTCGTAAAGTTGATTGCGAGCACCTTGTCCACGTTAACAACTGCGGCCACTGTCTTTGGCCTGCGCTCGGGTTTGTCGTTCTTGTCCGACTTGACCGCTGCCTTGGAGACTTTGACTGGGGCTTTGCAGCGAAAGGCGGCGGGCAGGGCAGTATCAACGGCTCGAACTCAGCATACCGACGCATGTATTCGGCCAGCCACGTCTTGAACGCCCGCGCATCTTTCTTGAACATGCGATTCTCTTTCAATTTCATCAGCTCCTTCACACGCTTTTGCACAGCAACTGGAGCGATGGCGGCCATGAGGAAATCGAAGGTCAGCTTGGGCTCCGCCTCGGCAAACCCCTCCATGGACAGACGAACAAGAATTCTGTCGAAGTCACTCATCATCTTGGACACGCGAGACTATGCTGATTGGACAGAAACTTCCATCTTGAGCTTGGCCATGGCTTGCGTGAGCGCGGCCATGTCCACAGGGTCGCTCTCTCGTGCGCTGAGGAAATACGCTCGCCAGTGTTCTTCTCCCAATTCGTGACTGGGCTTTCCGATTTCCCAGAACGCAATGCGTTCCACAGACTGAGGGTCAATACAGCCGCTCAAGGCATCTGGTGAACCTGCTTCCCGCTAGGGCGCTGAGCATTGGCGCGACGGATCTCCCGGCGATAGGCCTCGTACTGGTCCATGAAACGGCGCTTCTCGACTTTGGTGCTGCCACTAAATGACGGCGCCTTGGGAACCTCTTGGAATCCATAAATAACTTGGACCTCTGAGGCTTGCGGAACTGAACTCGGTGGGTGCGATGGAGCCGCAGTAAACGCTTGCCAACGCACTCGTTCGTCGACGCATCTCTTCCAATGCGTCGGCTTGTTGTACAGATGATGCAGCCGTCGCACGTAACCCCCGTTGATGACTCTCGGTGGTCGCACGCTGGGCATCCAACTGGTCCATAAGGACCTGTTGGCGATCAGGCTGCGCCATCAGCTCGGCCACAAGTTTGTTGTTCATCTTCATTTGAGCTTGAGCTTGAACTTACTGCTGTTGGGGGAGCACCATGAGCTGCTCGTATGTTTGTTGCGTCTGGACGCCAACAGCATCTTGAACCGAGTCGAGACGCGTTGCTTGCGCATCCACCACCTGCTGTCCCAATTGTTGAACAGCGAGATCTGGGGGGTACATAGCGTAAGGAGGAGCCACTTGATGGGTGTAAACATTCTCATGGGACCTGGTCCTGTGCAGGACCAAACCCGTGCAGCCGCGTGGCGACAACGGCAAGGCAGTGTCGTGATCCATGGACGCAATGCTGAATGGGTATGAACGCTGTCCTGTCGACTCAAACCAGCGGACGGGTATGCGCTTTCAACGTGAGAGCGCAGGAGCAATTCACTAAAGAATTCTTTGTTGTCGCTCCAGCACGGAAACAACACATCTGACACAAACACGGTCAATTCGAAAGTGTCATTAGCAGTCAGTCATTACGACGATCCCCTCGCACAAACCCCTCGCACGCCACACTCCTTGAATCCGGATACTTTTACGGAAGAGCCAGCTTTGGCGCACCACGACCAAGTTGGCACGCCCGGTCCGCAGAGGACAACAAGCGACAACATGGTGGCGCAAATGTATCGTTTTTGCAGTAAGACCACGAAAGCGTGTCCAATTGGGGGAAACACAGCTCCACGTCCATCGAGAATTCGTCGGGTGGTGATTTCCATGGACTCACGACGGGGCAGTCGTTGGATAAGACAGCGCGAGTGACATCTACCATGTACCTGTCCTAGACCTCGTAGGGTGGTGTATGTAGTGATGTTGGCGAGGTCAAGAACCCATTGAAGAGGCGAGGTAAAGTTGAGGATATCACTGGCACTGTGTTGTGGGGGCGGAATCGGTTGTTCCGGCCACCGCGTCACCTTCTTCAGTCTATCGCCCCGGAATGCTGTCGTCCTCGTCAACCTTCTCCTCATGGCTCTGACGTTGTACCTGTCTGTCGCCATTCCACACCGTCAAGTTCGACCACCGCTTGGGTTTCAGGAAATCGGCGACCGCTCTCATAAAAAACAAACACGACAACGTGACTACCGTGCATTGCAATTTGAGTCATTTGTAGTACTACACTTGCAAATGACTTGTTTTCAACTCGAAGGGGACCGTGGGGACTCAGCGATGAAGGCCGAAAAATCCTCGACAGAGAGAGGACCAACTAATGATACGAAGCGTGAAAAGGACTCGTGGGACATGCCATTGTTATGTGTACCCAGAGCAGACTCAATCTTTCGAAAGGTCGGTTGGCTGGTGAGCTTGGGAGCCCAAATTCCAAAGATTGGGGCTAGTTGTAGTAGGCCTTTTATAAGTGCGGTTACGCACGGCTAGCCTCACTTCGGTTCACTTCGGTAGGAGGGGCCGCGTGAACTGACTGTAACTAAGTTTGGATTTGCATTGCTTCCCGAAAGGAAGACGCCTTGCGGATAAACAAGGCGCGGACTCACAACAGACATGCATTCAGTTGCTTGGACACAAGGTCTGGGGAGGTATGAAATGGCATCTCGCTTTGGGTTGGAATTCGACCGGACGTAACGATGGCGTACTCTGGTATAGTGTAGTCCCAGTGACATGATGGCGAAACCAGTGGGTCACGTTTCTCGGCGGGGCTTTGTCCATGCGCTACACTGCGGGACACAAATGAGGGAACAGTTACAATTTTGGAGATATCTCATCAACCAACGGGAGCTATGAGACGCCGTTTGAATATGACAGTCCAATTGGAATGCTCGACGTGTGGTCATGGCTAAAGCCAAGCAAAGCGCAACGATGCACGACTTTCCATACAACAAACGAAATTTGCATGGGGACAAAATTAAGGAACGGAATTTCACATACAAATTCCAAGATGTTCAAATTGATTGTACGAGAATGAATGTTAAGTCAGTATACGTTGTTCCAATCATTTCCAAAATGACCCGCCAAATGTTGACGGATGAGCTGCGTGGCCGCATCAAAGGACTACGAGAGGCTGGAAAGTCCTACCGAGAAATTGCGGGCATTACCGGAAGGTCGTTGGCGGTCATATCCCGTTGCCTTCGGCGTCGCAATCGCCCGCCCAAGCCCAGAGGACGCCGGCCTGTTTTGTCAGGACGACAAACACGTCTTCTGATTCGAAGCGCCGTCGCCACCGGTGCCAGCGCTGGCCAGTTGCGCAACCAACACGACCTGCCATGCTCCATTCGGACCGCACGTC